AACGTTGTTTTTTGTTGAAGAATACCAAGAACATGTGCCCCGAAAAAGGCTAAAACACTTTTATTTTACAGGGTTTTGTGCACTTCAAGGTATTCGATTTTTTGAAAACCGCGTAAGTACCAACGTTTTTTTTTTACGTTCATCAAGACAAAACACCGCTTCAAAAACAAAAGCATGATACAATTTACAGGTTTTAGGCAAGTGGCAAAAATTAAGGGGCTACGCCCCCTGCCGCCGACCCCTGGGAGAGAGGGGGAGTTTACACATACGTCACTTCCCGAACCTACAAGAAAACTATATGGGTACGAGTCAAAATACAAGGTATGGATCAAGGCGCCAAAGCTACACACGATCCATACCCCCCGATCCATACTTTGATCCATACCCTGTGATATTGCATGATCCATACCTTTGATCCATACCCTTGATCCATACCCCTGATCCATACCCCTTTCTCGTTGAAGAAAGACTGATGCTGGCCTTAACGATGCTTTTTATCCTAATATATACTGCTTCTGGTTCTCGTACTGCTACTCCCATCGCTACTACCGTTGCTTCTACTGCTGCCTCCACTGCCTCCGCTGCTGCTGCCGCCGCCACTACTAGTGATTATCCTTCTCGCTGCTGGTGCTGGCTCACGTTCTCCGTGTGCTTCGGTAGTTGGACAGATGTAACTAGTTGACTAGCTACTAGCAATATTGCAAGTGCACCTTGGAGGCTTGTAAGACCGGTTCTACTTCCACTAGGTGCTTATTGTACTTCTAGTGGTGCTATGACTACAACTCCTTCTGTTTCTACTTTGCCTGGCACGTGTAGAACTAAAAAAGCATGGTGTCCTGATCCATACCCCGATCCAGACCCGTTCCATGCCTGGTCCATATCCGAACCCAGTCACGCCACAACAAGTGCCAATATGAAAGTTCGAATCTGTTACTACTTCTGCTGCTGCTTCTTGCTCTACTTGTGCTTCTACTTCTACTTCTGCTTGTACTTCTACTTCTACTTTTGCTGCTACTACTACTACTTCTACTACTACTGCTGCTGCTGCTACTATTACTACTACTCCTACTGCTACTGCGACTGTTATTGCTACTGCTACTGCTCCTCCTCCTGCTCCTGCTCCTGCTGCTCTTCCTATTCCTACTCCTGCGCCTACTCCTCCTACTACTCCTAATTCAACTGCAGCTACTGCTGCTACTACCATTAGATTATTTTACTGTTATAAGTTATTACTTTGACTCTTACTAGTACTACTGTTACTGCTACTGCTATTTCTACTGCGTCTTCGCCACAGCGAAGCAGCGGGGGCCTGAAGGACGGACCGGGCCTGCGGGCAACGGCTCTTACTGCCTAACGTTGCTTTCTGAACCTACAAGAAAACTAGCGGTCTTCCAGCGGCCAAGGCCCAGAAAACGGCGCCTTCGCCACAGCGAAACAGCGGGGCCCTGAAGGACGGACCGGGCCTGCGGGCAACGGCTCTTACTGCCTAACGTTGCTTTCTGAACCTACAAGAAAACTAGCTGTCTTCCAGCGGCCAAGGCCCAGAAAACGGCGCCTTCGCCACAGCGAAACAGCAGGGCCCTGAAGGACGGACCGGGCCTGCGGGCAACGGCTCTTACTGCCTAACGTTGCTTTCTGAACCTACAAGAAAACTAGCTGTCTTCCAGCGGCCAAGGCCCAGAAAACGGCGCCTTCACCACAGCGAAACAGCAGGGCCCTGAAGGACGGCCCAGAAAACGGCGCCTTCACCACAGCGAAACAGCAGGGCCCTGAAGGACGGACCGGGTCGGCCAAGGCCCAGAAAACGGCGCCTTCGCCACAGCGAAACAGCGGGGCCCTGAAGGACGGACCGGGCCTGCGGGCAACGGCTCTTACTGCCTAACGTTGCTTTCTGAACCTACAAGAAAACTAGCTATCTTCCAGCGGTCAAGGCCCAGAAAACGGCGCCTTCACCACGGCCCTGAAGGACGGACCGGGTCTGCGGGCAACGGCTCTTACTGCCTAACGTTGCTTTCTGAACCTACAAGAAAACTAGCTGTCTTCCAGCGGCCAAGGCCCAGAAAACGGCGCCTTCGCCACAGCGAAACAGCAGGGCCCTCAAGGACGGACCGGGCCTGCGGGCAACGGCTCTTACTGCCTAACGTTGCTTTCTGAACCTACAAGAAAACTAGCTATCTTCCAGCGGCCAAGGCCCAGAAAACGGCGCCTTCACCACAGCGAAACAGCAGGGCCCTGAAGGACGGACCGGGCCTGCGGGCAACGGCTCTTACTGCCTAACGTTGCTTTCTGAACCTACAAGAAAGCTGTCTTCCAGCGGCCAAGGCCCAGAACACGGCGCCTTCGCCACAGCGAAACAGCAGGGGCCTGAAGGACGGACCGGGCCTGCGGGCAACGGCTCTTACTGCCTAACGTTGCTTTCTGAACCTACAAGAAAACTAGCTGTCTTCCAGCGGCCAAGGCCCAGAACACGGCGCCTTCGCCACAGCGAAGCAGCAGGGCCCTGAAGGACGGACCGGGCCTGCGGGCAACGGCTCTTACTGCCTAACGTTGCTTTCTGAACCTACAAGAAAACTAGCTGTCTTCCAGCGGCCACAGCGAAACAGCGGGGCCCTGAAGGACGGACCGGGCCTGCGGGCAACGGCTCTTACTGCCTAACGTTGCTTTCTGAACCTACAAGAAAACGAGCGGTCTTCCAGCGGCCAAGGCCCAGAAAACGGCGTCTTCGCCACAGCGAAGCAGCGGGGGCCTGAAGGACGGACCGGGCCTGCGGGCAAACGGCTCTTACTGCCTAACGTTGCTTTCTGAACCTACAAGAAAACTAGCGGTCTTCCAGCGGCCAAGGCCCAGAAAACGGCGCCTTCGCCACAGCGAAACAGCGGGGCCCTGAAGGACGGACCGGGCCTCCGGCCAACGGCTCTTACTGCCTAACGTTGCTTTCTGAACCTACAAGAAAACTAGCTGTCTTCCAGCGGCCAAGGCCCAGAAAACGGCGCCTTCGCCACAGCGAAACAGCAGGGCCCTGAAGGACGGACCGGGCCTGCGGGCAACGGCTCTTACTGCCTAACGTTGCTTTCTGAACCTACAAGAAAACTAGCTGTCTTCCAGCGGCCAAGGCCCAGAAAACGGCGCCTTCACCACAGCGAAACAGCAGGGCCCTGAAGGACGGCCCAGAAAACGGCGCCTTCACCACAGCGAAACAGCAGGGCCCTGAAGGACGGACCGGGTCGGCCAAGGCCCAGAAAACGGCGCCTTCGCCACAGCGAAACAGCGGGGCCCTGAAGGACGGACCGGGCCTGCGGGCAACGGCTCTTACTGCCTAACGTTGCTTTCTGAACCTACAAGAAAACTAGCTATCTTCCAGCGGTCAAGGCCCAGAAAACGGCGCCTTCACCACGGCCCTGAAGGACGGACCGGGTCTGCGGGCAACGGCTCTTACTGCCTAACGTTGCTTTCTGAACCTACAAGAAAACTAGCTGTCTTCCAGCGGCCAAGGCCCAGAAAACGGCGCCTTCGCCACAGAGAAACAGCAGGGCCCTGAAGGACGGACCGGGCCTGCGGGCAACGGCTCTTACTGCCTAACGTTGCTTTCTGAACCTACAAGAAAACTAGCTATCTTCCAGCGGCCAAGGCCCAGAAAACGGCGCCTTCACCACAGCGAAACAGCAGGGCCCTGAAGGACGGACCGGGCCTGCGGCTCCCACTGCCTAACGTTGCTTTCTGAACCTGCAAGAAAACTAGCTCTCTTCCAGCCGTCAAGGCTCACAAACGGCGCCTCCGCCACAGCAAAACAGCAGGGCCCTGAAGGACGGACCGAGCCTCCGACGTTGCTTTCTGAACCTACAAGAAAACTAGCTCTCTTCCAGCCGTCAAGGCTCACAAACGGCGCCCTCGCCACAGCAAAACAGCAGGGCCCTGAAGGACGGACCGAGCCTCCGGGCAACGGCTCCCAAACTAGCTCTCTTCCAGCCGTCAAGGTTCACAAACGGCGCCCTCGCCACAGCAAAACGGCAGGGCCCTGAAGGACGGACCGAGCCTCCGGGCAACGGCTCCCCACTGCCTAACGTTGCTTTCTGAACCTACAAGAAAACAAGCTCTCTTCCAGCCGTCAAACCTTCAAAAACGCGCGGCGCCTTCGCCAGTCTCAAAAAGGACGGTCCTGAAGGACGGGCCGGGCTTGCGGGCGACAGCCCCTAGTCAGTCCTCCTCTAACGCGCTCCCCCTGCTGGCGGCAGGGGTCGGCGGATAACGCGCGCGCTTGTACCGTCGGGCCGGCAGGGCTTTGCACACCGGCGATGCCCCAAGGGTTGTTGTATGTTGTTGTTGTTGTTGCCCAGAATGCCGCCCGCTTGATCTCTTGTCATCCTGCAACCATCTGAGGATTTTGAGACTCTCGGAGCAAACAACGCCGTAAATACCAATGTTTTTGGCGCCTCGAAAGGCCAAAGCCACGGAGTTTACGATGTTTTTTGCCTTTGGTCTTTGGTAGCAAACATCACGGTATTTATATTGTTTTTTGGCCAGTGCCCAGCAAAATCACAGGTATTGACGCAGCTTTCAGCATGTTGCAGGAAACATATTTTGCAAAAATAAACGTCGCAAAAACATTGTAATGTTCAGTGTTTTGGGCGTACATTTAGGACAAATCGACGCGACGTGTCTACTGGATCATGTATGACCCAACTAGAACTTGAGTCTAGTGGCACTGGCAAAACCTCGCTGTTTGATGTGGTCCAATGCACCGGGACGTTCAGCAGAAATACGATGAAATACGAGTCATGACAGTCCAAAAAAGTGTTGCGAGTTCATTCAGAATAAAGAAGATTACACAATGTTACATCCAATCACGTTGCTCTCTATATTATTGAATTTGCCGCATGCCAGTTACAGCTTGGTTTGTTGAGGGCGTTCTTGGTGCATCAACAGGTTTCAAGCGTTCAAAAAGCCATTTTCGCTCTCAAATCTCTCCCCAAGTCTGTTGGCGAAGAACCCATCAGACTGTCATGGTGAGCTTCAGGCGGGTGGATGCCCTCAGCGACCCCGAGGTTGATCAATCGTTTCAACCGAAATGGTCCACGTTGAAGAGGATGGCTGTCGCAGTGGCAACTGCTATGGTCGTTTGTGTGGGCATTCTTGCCTTGTCGACGAATGGCTTCAGCCGCAACTGCAGCAACATTGCAGCTTTGCAGGGGAAGTCCGCTTTGGATCTTGATTCAGCCATCCGCTCTACCAGTGAAAAGCTGATTCAGGCAGTGAAGAACAACCAAACCGTGGCTGATGAGACTGTGATGAAGGCCATGGTGAAGGCAGGTCACAAGATTCAGGACCACTGGGAGAAGCACCACATCCGCAAGTTGGATACTCTTACCACCATCAGAAAGGTGAAAGGATTCCGCCAAGGACAAAAGGTCAAACTTGCTGGACGTGCGGAATGCGCCTTCAACGTTTTGGAGGCATTTGTCTCAGCAGTGGGTATGGGTGATGACATCAATGCCATCATTCGCACTTGCCCTGCACCTCGTGACGGTGAGTCTGAGTTGGCTTGCCAGGTGAACGGTGCCATCCTGGGTGCTTGGGTAGGAAACCTTGCTACAAAGCTGGCCTTGGCAACTTCCAATTGTGCCCTGAGCATCAACGTGGATGCCATTTGCTCTGCTGGCATCACAGGCTTGGTGTCAGGCTTGGGAGAGATTGCAGCTGGAGCTTCTTTGGGTGCGGCCACATGTACCGCAACTCCGCCACAGTTGACCACCACCAAGATCAGTGTCCTGGGAGATCAGACTGTCCGAGATGGCCGACGATTGTTGATCGGAGAAGGCACTGTCGGCAACGGTGTGCAGTGTGGTGTAGATGTGGGCATGGTGGCAGCCAACATTGCAAACATGGGTATTGCCATCAACAAGGCCGTGAATGTGAACAAGTGCAAAGCAAGCACCTTCCGTTCACCATTGAACGTGGTCAAGGGCCTCCAAGAGTCACTTTGCACCGTCGACATTGGTGGTGCTGTGGCCTACATCGGTCAGGTTGTTACCTTCATCAATCTCATTGTGCTTCATTGCCAGGACTGAATGGGCCTGATCACAACTGCGATGTTTTTCTGGCAATCTCACGCTTCTTGTTGTTCATTGTTCCAATGAAGTTTCATCACATAATAATACATATATATATATTTACAGAATGTGATTTTCCTCCTCAAATCCTCAGGATCCATGGAGTTGGCATGCAGCACAACTGCACAAATCGAGAAGTGTAACATGAACATGGCACTTCTCATAATCCATAGCTGCCTGCCGCCGCTCTCTCAAGGGTGGGACATCGCAGCCCAAACGGCTACGCCATGGTGGTGAAAACATAAGGTGCCTGGGAACTTCGAGCGTCTTAGGCTGGAGTGGTGGTGGTTTGGGGGTTCCCCCAACACACTCTTGTTGTTGGTAGCGGAAGCCTGTGGAGCTGACGCGTGGTGATGGCACCCAAACAGGGACAGAATGGTCCTGGGCAAAGCGCAGCTAGCGCTGGGGGTGCACAAGCTGGCGAAGGAAACCAAGCGGTGAACACTGCAAGGCTTGACAACTACGTGCCAACCTTCAACAATGTGCAGAAAGACTACTGGGAATACCGGAAGCGAGCTGAGATCTACAAGAAGAAGATGGACCTAGGAAACGATGGGTCTGAGGTTGTCTATAACCTGGTGACCATGCTCACTGGCAAAGCTTGGGATTTGGTGGAGGACATGAGCATGGAGCAAATGTCCGCAGCTGGTGCCTACGATGAGGTCTTCAGAAGACTGGATGGTGGGTTCCGCTATGATCCACTGACTGAGCTGCCTGATGACTTTGAGCAGTTCTTCATGAAGCTGCAGCGCCGCAACAACCAGACGTTGCAGGACTACATGGCTGAGTTCACCAGAGCTGAACGACGCCTTCAATTGACACACAGCATCACCTTGCCTGAGAAGGTGAAAGCCTGGTGGTTCCTGCGCAAAAGTGGAATCACAAAGGAGCAAAGACAGCTGATCCTGACTCACATTGGAACGGCTGGATTGACCTTAGAAGAAGTTCAAAAGGCTATGAGCTTCATCCTTGGCCAAGGCTCCAAGCTCGAGCCTTCCACTGCCTCCCGATGGGGTAAGGTCAACAAGATCTACTACGGCGAAGATGATGATGGTTGGGACTATGAGGCTGAGTATGACGACTCAGTCCACTACATGGATGAAGATGACATTGATGATGTTGCCTGGGCTGATGACGGCCAGGACTACTACGATGATGGTGCATCTGCCGCTGTCTCCAACCACGATCAGGTGTTCGATGTGGAAGAGTTCGATGAGGTCTACGCCAACTATGCTGAAGCACGTGGCAAGCTGAATGCTCTCAGGACAGCCCGAGGTTTTTACCCTGTTGTAGCTGTTGTAGAAAAGCCCCAAACCTATGAAGGTGGTAAGAAGGGTAAATCTCCAACTAGAAGCCAAAAAGGGTAAAGGGAAGTCCAAACAGCAGCTGCCACACAAGCCGAAGCGACCTTCTCCAGATCCAAAAGGCCGCGCCAATGCTGCTGGATATGGCAAAAATCTGTGCTTGCGCTGTGGTCAACCTGGTCACATGGCGAGAAATTGCCCTACAGCGAGCGCTGACCGCAAACGAAAAGCTGATGACGATGACGCCATCAACATGGTCGAGACCTATGCCCCTGAAGCTGTCTTCAACATGGATGATGATGATGGAGATTAAAGTGATGAAGATGTGGCAGTTCAAGATGGTGGAGCATCCTCCGTCTTGGGAAGCGCCAAGCAGATCTGCAAGTAGCTGACCTTCCTGATGGAGAATGGCTATGGCATCCACGAAAGCCCAGTTTTTGAATGTGAAAAAGGCTTCAAGTACGGCAACAGAATGAAGGAAGTGACCAGCAGGTGCATCCTCCTGCCAATGTTTCTTGGTGGTCGACGCATCGACGTGCTGACCTACGTGATCCAAGGTGCTGCTCCGATTTTGGTTGGACGCCCCCTGCTGGAGAAACTTGGTCTCACTGTGGACTACAACAAGCAGCTGATGCGATGGCCCAACCAAAACTGGGAAACTGCCCCACGTGGTCTAAAGGGTGAGTACATCCTACATCTTGGACGAGATCTGCCTGCTTGCCGCCAACGAGAACCTGACATGGTCCTCATGCCTGAAGACTTCGATGACCACATTGGTCAACAGGTCCCAATACAAACGTTTTTGAAGGAAAGCACCGAGGATGTCATGACTGCAGCCGACATCGCCGACAAGGAGATGTCACAACACCACGACGATGCGAAACAGTGCAATACACATCCTGCAGAGGATGGAATGGACCATGAGACTGAAGAGCCCTATGGTCGCGTGATGCGATTGCAACACCATGTGCTGCGCAAGATGGAAACCAATCTGAAGCTGAAGGCTCAGAATCTTGGCAAGATCCTCTATGCTAGCAAGAGCCTCGACAAGAGCACCCACAAGCCACATGTGATTTGGGAAGTGTTTGTTGGTGCTTGCCGCACATCCCATTACCTCACAAAGTATGACAACGTGCTTGTGGAGGTCTTCTCTTTGTGCACTGGCTGGGACTTCAACTTCGAGAAAGCTGCTGATCGCAAACGCTTCTTGTCCCGACTTCGAGAAGAACAACCAGATGATGTTCTGATGGCCCCAATGTGCCGCCTATGGTCTCCACTTCAGGAGCTGACTTGTGCCAACACCGCAGAACACTTGAGCTCTACATGGATGGAAAGGGCGAACGCACCAAGAAGACTTTGCTTGAAGCTGCCATCTACTGCCCTGGCCAGATCAACAACCTGAGCTACACCAACGGCTACACGCCGGGCCAGTGGGTTCTTGGAAGATCTTCTGCTGATGCTCGCAGCTTGACAGCTGACCTCTTCAACCTTGGCGCTGTTTCCATGACTGACCACACTGACTTCAGTCATGTGCAGCAGAAGCGACTTGCAGCTCAAACGGCATTTCTGAAAGCCGACACTGATCTCAGACTACGCCGTGCCATGATGCAGAACTACAAGGAAGTCAAGAACAAGGTGGTAGTAGGTCAACAATGCTACTACTGGAGACTGCAAGGCACTGGCATCCTCCAAAAGAACAAATGGCGACGTCCCTGTCGCTGCGTTTCTACGGAGTTGGATGACAATGGAAACCAACTGGTGCTTTGGATTTGTCATGGCACTTCACTTCTTCGATGCGCTCCTCATCAAGTACGACCACGAGTTGAATCTATTGGGTCAGAAATCCCAGTGGATGTTCAAGCTGCACTACATGATCTTCAAGAACTACGAGCTCGCAGCACAACCCAGCTCAGGGCCGGCATTGAACCTGAAGCTGGTGTTGAAGATCTTTTAGGAGAAGAAGGCCTTCATGATCCTCAACAAGCTGCAGCAGATGGCCAACAAAGTGAACAATAAGAGCCCAGCATCGCCCCTGACGATATTGCTGCTGAAAACATGGACACTGACGGTCCCTCACTGCTCTATCAACATCGACGACGAGATGCTGAAGAGGCTGGACTTGAACCTCCTGAACCAAGTTCACAACGACCGAGATTGGACTCTGTTGCTGAGCCTGAGCCTGGCCCTGCAGAAAGCCAAAGCAACTCTCCAGCTGATGCGGCTCAACCTCTTGAGAAACGAGCACGCATTGCCATCAACACTCCTGTTCCATAGCCCGGTGACAACGAGCTCATTGTAGACGAGGCCTATGTCGCTGAGATTGACGACAAGTCGTTCCCGAAAGATTGGGTCTTGGTTGATGGTGACTTTGAGCTGGACGAGGTCTATCTGACCAACCTTGGAGTTCGGAAGAACGAAGCCTCCGAACGAGCCATGACTCTGGCGGAAAAGGAGCAAATGATTGAGGCCAAGCAGAAGGAGCCCACCTCCTACTTTGCCAACAAGATTTGGACTTTTACCGAGATTGGCAAGAACGAAGCTGACTGAGTAGTCACAGCGCGCTGGGTCCTGACATGGAAACAACTTGAACCTCAAGACTCAAGAAGGACAACCAGCTTCTCTCCAGCGACGAGCAAAAGCCCGTTTGGTTCTCAGAGGATTTGAAGATCCCGACCTTTTCAACCCGGAGAAGACATCGCCAACGGCATCAAAATCTTCCAAGATGTTGCTGCTTGCACTGGTGCCCAATTTTTGGATGGACTTTGTTTTGCGGCGATGTGCGCTGTGCATTTCTCTCGGGAGCTGAGTTCAAACGCAACATCATTGTCAAGCTCCCACGTGATTGCAGTGCTCTACTTGGTTGCCAAGGCGTCACCTACATGAAAATGAACAAGTCTGCCTATGGCCTGAGCGATGCACCGCTCTTATGGTGGCGTGAAGCCGACCGGCGACTGAGAAGCACTGGACTGAAACGACACAGGCTTGACAAGTGCTGCTACATGTTCTACAACAAGGATGGTGCCCTTTGCGCGATGCTCATTCTACATGTGGACGACTTGCTTCTGGGAGCCAACATGAATGACCCTGAAGCTGAATCCTTGATCCAACGTCTTCGCGCTTGCTTTGACTTTGGCAAGTGGCAAAGCCTTGACGCTGACAAGCAACTTGTTTACTGTGGTGGCCACATCACCAAAATTGAGGATAACCTCTCATTGGACTGTGAAACCTACCTCAAGAAAGTGCTGCCAATCACAGTTGCGAAAGGCCGTGGAAAAGACCAACCACTAGCACCTCAAGAGACTTCAAAGGCACGTGGCCTGATTGGTGCGCTTCAATGGCCTGCCGGCCAAGCTTGCTTGCAGCTCAACGCCTCAACTTCAATCATTGCAGCCAACATCAACAAAGGCACTGTGGATTTGCTTCACGAGCTCAACAAGACGCTCCGGTTTGCAAAGAACTCAGCAGATCTCCGACTGACAATGCGTCCAGTCTGTGGAGATTGGAGCGAAATGTGCCTTCTATGTTTTTCAGATGCTGCAGTGCAAGTTCGAGCTGGCTCTAGCTCTCAAGGTGGTTTTGTCATCAGTTTGATCAACACCAAGGTCTTGGAAGGCAAATCTGCGCCCTACTCCATTGTAGCCTGGCGATCCTACAAGCTGCCCAAAGTTTGCAGATCGAGTTTGAGCGCCGAAGCTCAATCCTGCGCCACGGCCTTGGATGAACTCATGATGGTCAAGACTAGCCCTGATGCGACAACATGATGCAGATCCCTGTCAAGCTGCAACAGCTGCTGACATCTGCGCCTCTGCAATTGTCATTGATGCCACAGGACTCTACGACGCAATCAACAAGGATGGCATCAGCAGCTCACTTGACAAACGAGCTGGAATTGAAATCATGTGCATCAAGGAGGAGCTGGCCAGACAAAAGACCCAACTCAGATGGGTGAGTTCAGAACGCATGCTTGCTGATGGCATGACCAAAATTCATGCCAGACAAGTCCTGGTTGACATGCTGCGGAGTGGATTCCTGAGCGGTGAAAGACAAGCAGTTCACCGCAGCAAAGAAGAAAGACAAGATGCAGCGAGAAAGAGATCAAGCTGAAGCTTTCCAGAAGCCCAACACCTAGAACTTGCAGCCCTCTGGAATGACGAAAGTGGCCGAGCGAATCGCTACAGTACTTGGACGGAGTCACAAAAGCCTTTGCAGCCCTGGACACCAACGAGAACTCTGAGTATGCCATCAACGTCATGCCTGACATTGCCCTGGTCATAACTGTCCTGGCGGTCCTTGCGGGCTTCTATGTGATCCTTTGCAAGTGGTGGTGCCGCTGTAGACGGAATCAAGCTGAAGCTGATGCAACAACTCTAGCTGATGCAACAACTCAAGTTGATGCAACGACTCAAGCCGATGTAACAGCCGATGCCGAGACCAATCCAGCCATCATTGCCCTCAACCAGCAGATTGCCGAGCTGAGACTAGACATCTAGGATCAGCTGAAGATCACGGATGATTCGAACTACAGGATCTACGCTCTTGGCGTGGAGATGGATGAGCAGAAAGCATCCTACGAGCGACAGCTGGAATGGACGGAAGCTGAGATGGTGGTCTGGCGTGATCAGTCACAGACAGCCAACGCAGAAAGGAACGAGGCCCAACTGCAACGAGATCATCATCGACGAAGAGCCAGAACGCTGATGAATTGGCCCTGCTGGTTCACACGACATGGTGACAAATGGCACACCCACAGGGAGTGCCAAAGCCTAACACAGAGCGAACCACAAGTGAGAGAGATGATGTGTAGGTACTGTGCCCAAAGGGCAATAGACGAAACTGGCGGACTGCCGGTGTGATGTTTTTTGTTGTTTCAAGTGCTGCTCATGCCAAGCACTTTTCCCCCTGTGTGAATTTCCTCCTAAAATCCTAAGAATCCATGGAGTTGGCATGCAGCACAACTGCACAAATAGAGAAGTGTAACATGAACATGGCACTTCTCATAATCCATAGCTGCCTGCCGCCGCTCTCTCAAGGGTGGGACATCGCAGCCCAAACGGCTACGCCATAAGGTGCCTGGGAACTTCGAGCGTCTTAGGCTGGAGTGGTGGTGGTTTGGAGGTTCCCCCAACACACTCTTGTTGCAGTATATATATATATATACACACATATAATTATACATATATCTATGCATATATTAGATTCCTTTCCTGCAAAAACTTGAGTCACTCTGAATCACTCTATTGCGGTCTTGAGATCTTGACATGGCACCCCTAGATGCCAATCACACAGTCAAGCACTTCTTGGACATCATTTTTGAATGATTTTGTCATATTGTGACGCTGTCCTGGTTTGCCCCTGAAGGGCCATTCAAGGGCCCCAAAATCTTCAGATAGGCCGCAACATCATGTTTTTTCGGCCAGGACTTTCTGGATATCAACGCACTTTGTGCTGGCTCCATTGCTGCGATCACCACGGGTGCAGCGGCCATTGCGCCCTACGGCGCAGCAGTGCACGCGGGCTGCGCCCTCAACCACTTCTTGAAGACACCCAAGAGTCAAACACAGCTTTCTAAATTGTGGAATTCCCCAGGCTATGATCCTGTGTCAGGCCTGCCACACCCTCGACGCTTGACGGAAGAGGAAGAGATGGCCGCTAAGCAACCCTTGAAGGAAAGCTTGGCTCAGATCGCAGCGAACCGTGAGACTTTGGAGCAGCTGAAGAAGGTGGTTGATGTTCCCAAGCCGGGCAACACAGAGGCAGACATTGAGACTCTCTTGAACCTCATGGGCAGCGAGGACAAGCCGCGTGCTGCCTGGCCATTTGAATGCTAAGCCTTGTGAGAGCCTTCTTAATGGCTCCTTGTTTTGTCGCCTATTCTCAGTAGGTGTGCAGATCGTGTCAGATGCTGAAATGCAGCTGACACATGAGAATTCATTGCTGGTTGGTGTTGTGATGACGTTGATGCATGTTGATGCGTTTTTTCGGCATTTGTTGTTTCTTGTTTCATCTCTATGTTTGAGCAAACTTTGAACAATTATGTAGTCCCAGTGGAGGAGCAGACTTTTTGTATGGATTGAAGCACCCAACCAGGCGCAGGATCCCATACACGTACATGCGCCATGCGCCAGTTCAATGTGCTGGTGGTTCTAGGTCAGCACCACGTGTCTGCCTGGATCAAAAGATGATCTTGGTAGGCTGTGTTGGGGTCGGTGTGGATAGCTCTGCATCAGCATATCCCCTCCTGTGATTCTCCCGACATGACGACCACCTGTGTCCAATGTACGCGCAAGACCCGGCTGTTTGTGGCTTTGGTCCAAAATGCGCTGTGCGGTTCAGCAGAAGGATACACAATGGTCTTGCTGTTTGTATTCTAGCTTTGTTGTCGTAAGTTAATCAACGGGATGGAGTTATCGGATGGAGTTACAGTTATTGAGTCAATCGTGTCCAAAGCAAGGCAGCGCAAAAGGTGGCACAGCATGGTACCTTGATTAAGGCGCAGATATTTTTCTCGTGTGCACAAGCAAGCCCTTGCAGCTCTCAAATTTCTCTTGTAAACTTGTAAACTGTTGAAATCTCTTGCCGGCTGCTTTGAAGCACCCTTCTAGTGGGGAGCATGACCGATTTCAATCGCGTGAATGATGTCAGCGACCCCGAGGTTGATCAATCGTTTCATCCGAAGTGGTCCACGTTGAAGAGGATGGCTGTCGCAGGGGCAGCTGCTATGGTGGTTTGTGTGGGCATTCTTGCCTTGTCGACGAATGGCTTCAGCCGCAACTGCAGCAACATTGGAGCCTTGCAAGGCAAGTCCGCTTTGGATCTTGATTCAGCCATCCGCTCCACCAGTGAAAAGCTGATTCAGGCAGTGAAGAACAACCAAACCGTGGCTGATGAGACTGTGATGAAGGCCATGGTGAAGGCAGGTCACAAGATTCAGGACCACTGGGAGAAGCACCACATCCGCAAGTTGGATACTCTTACCACCATCAGAAAGGTGAAAGGATTCCGCCAAGGACAAAAGGTCAAACTTGCTGGACGTGCGGAATGCGCCTTCAACGTTTTGGAGGCATTTGTCTCAGCAGTGGGTATGGGTGATGACATCAATGCCATCATTCGCACTTGCCCTGCACCTCGTGACGGTGAGTCTGAGTTGGCTTGCCAGGTGAACGGTGCCATCCTGGGTGCTTGGGTAGGAAACCTTGCTACAAAGCTGGCCTTGGCAACTTCCAATTGTGCCCTGAGCATCAACGTGGATGCCATTTGCTCTGCTGGCATCACAGGCTTGGTGTCAGGCTTGGGAGAGATTGCAGCTGGAGCTTCTTTGGGTGCGGCCACATGTACCGGAACTCCGCCACAGTTGACCACCACCAAGATCAGTGTCCTGGGAGATCAGACTGTCCGAGATGGCCGACGATTGTTGATCGGAGAAGGCACTGTCGGCAACGGTGTGCAGTGTGGTGTAGATGTGGGCATGGTGGCAGCCAACATTGCAAACATGGGTATTGCCATCAACAAGGCCGTGAATGTGAACAAGTGCAAAGCGAGCACCTTCCGTTCACCATTGAACGTGGTCAAGGGCCTCCAAGAGTCACTTTGCACCGTCGACATTGGTGGTGCTGTGGCCTACATCGGTCAGGTTGTTACCTTCATCAATCTCATTGTGCTTCATTGCCAGGACTGAATGGGCCTGATCACAACTGCGATGTTTTTCTGGCAATCTCACGCTTCTTGCTGTTCATTGTTCCCATGAAGTTTCGTCACAGAATCATATAAAATAATGTTATATATATATATGCATATATTAGATTCCTTTCCTGCAAAAACTTGAGTCACTCTGAATCACTCTATTGCGGTCTTGAGATCCTGACATGGCACCCCTAGATGCCAAGCACAGTCAAGCACTTCTTGCTTCTTGGACATCGATTTTGAATGATTTTGTCATATTGTGACGCTGTCCTCGTTTGCCCCTTAAGGGCCATTCAAGGGCCCCAAAATCTTCTGATAGGCTGCAGTATCATGTTTTTCGGCCAGGACTTTCTGGATATCAACGCACTTTGTGCTGGCTCCATTGCTGCGATCACGACGGGTGCAGCGGCCATTGCGCCCTACGGCGCAGCAGTGCACGCGGGCTGCTCCCTCAACCATTTCTTGAAGACACCCAAGAGTCAAACACAGCTTTCTAAATTGTGGAATTCCCCAGGCTATGATCCTGTGTCAGGCCTGCCACACCCTCGACGCTTGACGGAAGAGGAAGAGATGGCCGCTAAGCAACCCTTGAAGGAAAGCTTGGCTCAGATCGCCGCGAACCGTGAGACTTTGGAGCAGCTGAAGAAGGTGGTTGATGTTCCCAAACCGGGCAACACAGAAGCAGACATTGAGACTCTCTTGAATCTCATGGGCAGCGAGGACAAGCCGCGTGCTGCCTGGCCATTTGAATGCTAAGCCTTGTGAGAGCCTTCTTAATGGCTCCTTGTTTTGTCGCCTATTCTCAGTAGGTGTGCAGATCGTGTCAGATGCTGAAATGCAGCTGACACATGAGAATTCATTGCTGGTTGGTGTTGTGATGACGTTGATGCATGTTGATGCGTTTTTTCGGCATTTGTTGTTTCTTGTTTCATCTCTATGTTTGAGCAAACTTTGAACAATTATGTAGTCCCAGTGGAGGAGCAGACTTTTTGTATGGATTGAAGCACCCAACCAGGCGCAGGATCCCATACACGTACATGCGCCATGCGCCAGTTCAATGTGCTGGTGGTTCTAGGTCAGCACCACGTGTCTGCCTGGATCAAAAGATGATCTTGGTAGGCTGTGTTGGGGTCGGTGTGGATAGCTCTGCATCAGCATATCCCCTCCTGTGATTCTCCCGACATGACGACCACCTGTGTCCAATGTACGCGCAAGACCCGGCTGTTTGTGGCTTTGGTCCAAAATGCGCTGTGCGGTTCAGCAGAAGGATACACAATGGTCTTGCTGTTTGTATTCTAGCTTTGTTGTCGTAAGTTAATCAACGGGATGGAGTTATCGGATGGAGTTACAGTTATTGAGTCAATCGTGTCCAAAGCAAGGCAGCGCAAAAGGTGGCACAGCATGGTACCTTGATTAAGGCGCAGATATTTTTCTCGTGTGCACAAGCAAGCCCTTGCAGCTCTCAAATTTCTCTTGTAAACTTGTAAACTGTTGAAATCTCTTGCCGGCTGCTTTGAAGCACCCTTCTAGTGGGGAGCATGACCGATTTCAATCGCGTGAATGATGTCAGCGACCCCGAGGTTGATCAATCGTTTCATCCGAAGTGGTCCACGTTGAAGAGGATGGCTGTCGCAGGGGCAGCTGCTATGGTGGTTTGTGTGGGCATTCTTGCCTTGTCGACGAATGGCTTCAGCCGCAACTGCAGCAACATTGCAGCTTTGCAGGGGAAGTCCGCTTTGGATCTTGATTCAGCCATCCGCTCTACCAGTGAAAAGCTGATTCAGGCAGTGAAGAACAACCAAACCGTGGCTGATGAGACTGTGATGAAGGCCATGGTGAAGGCAGGTCACAAGATTCAGGACCACTGGGAGAAGCACCACATCCGCAAGTTGGATACTCTTACCACCATCAGAAAGGTGAAAGGATTCCGCCAAGGACAAAAGGTCAAACTTGCTGGACGTGCGGAATGCGCCTTCAACGTTTTGGAGGCATTTGTCTCAGCAGTGGGTATGGGTGATGACATCAATGCCATCATTCGCACTTGCCCTGCACCTCGTGACGGTGAGTCTGAGTTGGCTTGCCAGGTGAACGGTGCCATCCTGGGTGCTTGGGTAGGAAACCTTGCTACAAAGCTGGCCTTGGCAACTTCCAATTGTGCCCTGAGCATCAACGTGGATGCCATTTGCTCTGCTGGCATCACAGGCTTGGTGTCAGGCTTGGGAGAGATTGCAGCTGGAGCTTCTTTGGGTGCGGCCACATGTACCGGAACTCCGCCACAGTTGACCACCACCAAGATCAGTGTCCTGGGAGATCAGACTGTCCGAGATGGCCGACGATTGTTGATCGGAGAAGGCACTGTCGGCAACGGTGTGCAGTGTGGTGTAGATGTGGGCATGGTGGCAGCCAACATTGCAAACATGGGTATTGCCATCAACAAGGCCGTGAATGTGAACAAGTGCAAAGCGAGCACCTTCCGTTCACCATTGAACGTGGTCAAGGGCCTCCAAGAGTCACTTTGCACCGTCGACATTGGTGGTGCTGTGGCCTACATCGGTCAGGTTGTTACCTTCATCAATCTCATTGTGCTTCATTGCCAGGACTGAATGGGCCTGATCACAACTGCGATGTTTTTCTGGCAATCTCACGCTTCTTGCTGTTCATTGTTCCCATGAAGTTTCGTCACATAATCATATAAAATAATGTTATATATATATATATATCTATGCATATATTAGATTCCTTTCCTGCACAAACTTGAGTCACTCTGAATCACTCTATTGCGGTCTTGAGATCTTGACATGGCACCCGTAGATGCCAAGCACACAGTCAAGCACTTCTTGCTTCTTGGACATCGATTTTGAATGATTTTGTCATATTGTGACGCTGTCCTGGTTTGTCCCTCAAGGGCCATTCAAGGGCCCCAAAATCTTCAGATAGGCCGCAGCATCATGTTTTTTCGGCCAGGACTTTCTGGATATCAACGCACTTTGTGCTGGCTCCATTGCTGCGATCACCACGGGTGCAGCGGCCATTGCGCCCTACGGCGCAGCAGTGCACGCGGGCTGCGCCCTCAACCACTTCTTGAAGACACCCAAGAGTCAAACACAGCTTTCTAAATTGTGGAATTCCCCAGGCTATGATCCTGTGTCAGGCCTGCCACACCCTCCACGCTTGACGGAAGAGGAAGAGATGGCCGCTAAGCAACCCTTGAAGGAAAGCTTGGCTCAGATCGCAGCGAACCGTGAGACTTTGGAGCAGCTGAAGAAGGTGGTTGATGTTCCCAAGCCGGGCAACACAGAGGCAGACATTGAGACTCTCTTGAACCTCATGGGCAGCGAGGACAAGCCGCGTGCTGCTTGGCCATTTGAATGCTAAGGTGTCTTGAGCGCCTTCTTGATAGCTCCTGGATTTGTCGCCTATTCTCAGTAGGTGGGCAGATCGTGTCAGATGCTGAAATGCAGCTGACACAGATCAGAATTCATCAATGTGACTTTGATTCATTCTTTGCTAGTATTGATTCGCCTTTTTGCCAGCTCAATATGCTGGCAGTTCCAGGTCAACACGATCTATCTACCTTGCTCATTGATGATCATGGTAGGCTGTACTGAGTGCAAACTCAGGACTGAAGCAGTATACAGTATACTGTATCTCTTCTTGCGATCCCGCCGACCTCACGACAATCCATGTCGAATGGTTCTGGCAAAACCCTCTGCTGATGGTGACCTTTGCGGCTCAAAAAGGCGCTTTTTTGATCCACACAAAACAGAAAGAGACAACATCCAATTTCTGTCCAAGCTGGATTTTTCCCATTGCAAACTTTACATTTGTTTGATTCTGTTTGATGTTCCTGAGTCTGCAACAGAGAACCTTGTGCCGGGCCACGAGCCAGACAGTTTTCCTATGTTCAATAAGCCATTTTCGCCTTCAAAGCTCTCCCGAACTCTCTTATTGGCTGCTGTGCGGCACCCTTCTGACGGTGAGCATGACCGATTTCAATCGCGTGAATGATGTCAGCGACCCCGAGGTTGATCAATCGTTTCATCCGAAGCGGTCCACGTTGAAGAGGATGGCTGTCGCAGGGGCAGCTGCTATGGTGGTTTGTGTGGGCATTCTTGCCTTGTCGACGAATGGCTTCAGCCGCAACTGCAGCAACATTGCAGCTTTGCAGGAGAAGTCCGCTTTGGATCTTGATTCAGCCATCCGCTCTACCAGTGAAAAGCTGATTCAGGCAGTGAAGAACAACCAAACCGTGGCTGATGAGACTGTGATGAAGGCCATGGTGAAGGCAGGTCACAAGATTCAGGACCACTGGGAGAAGCACCACATCCGCAAGTTGGATACTCTTACCACCATCAGAAAGGTGAAAGGATTCCGCCAAGGACAAAAGGTCAAACTTGCTGGACGCGCGGAATGCGCCTTCAACGTTTTGGAGGCATTTGTCTCAGCAGTGGGTATGGGTGATGACATCAATGCCATCATTCGCACTTGCCCTGCACCTCGTGACGGTGAGTCTGAGTTGGCTTGCCAGGTGAACGGTGCCATCCTGGGTGCTTGGGTAGGAAACCTTGCTACAAAGCTGGCCTTGGCAACTTCCAATTGTGCCCTGAGCATCAACGTGGATGCCATTTGCTCTGCTGGCATCACAGGCTTGGTGTCAGGCTTGGGAGAGATTGCAGCTGGAGCTTCTTTGGGTGCGGCCACATGTACCGGAACTCCGCCACAGTTGACCACCACCAAGATCAGTGTCCTGGGAGATCAGACTGTCCGAGATGGCCGACGATTGTTGATCGGAGAAGGCACTGTCGGCAACGGTGTGCAGTGTGGTGTAGATGTGGGCATGGTGGCAGCCAACATTGCAAACATGGGTATTGCCATCAACAAGGCCGTGAATGTGAACAAGTGCAAAGCGAGCACCTTCCGTTCACCATTGAACGTGGTCAAGGGCCTCCAAGAGTCACTTTGCACCGTCGACATTGGTGGTGCTGTGGCCTACATCGGTCAGGTTGTTACCTTCATCAATCTCATTGTGCTTCATTGCCAGGACTGAATGGGCCTGATCACAACTGCGATGTTTTTCTGGCAATCTCACGCTTCTTGCTGTTCATTGTTCCCATGAAGTTTCGTCACATAATCATATAAAATAATGTTATATATATATGCATATATTAGATTCCTTTCCTGCACAAACTTGAGTCACTCTGAATCACTCTATTGCGGTCTTGAGATCTTGACATGGCACCCGTAGATGCCAAGCACACAGTCAAGCACTTCTTGCTTCTTGGACATCGATTTTGAATGATTTTGTCATATTGTGACGCTGTCCTGGTTTGTCCCTCAAGGGCCATTCAAGGGCCCCAAAATCTTCAGATAGGCCGCAGCATCATGTTTTTTCGGCCAGGACTTTCTGGATATCAACGCACTTTGTGCTGGCTCCATTGCTGCGATCACCACGGGTGCAGCGGCCATTGCGCCCTACGGCGCAGCAGTGCACGCGGGCTGCTCCCTCAACCATTTCTTGAAGACACCCAAGAGTCAAACACAGCTTTCCAAATTGTGGAATTCCCCAGGCTATGATCCTGTGTCAGGCCTGCCACACCCTCGACGCTTGACGGAAGAGGAAGAGATGGCCGCTAAGCAACCCTTGAAGGAAAGCTTGGCTCAGATCGCAGCGAACCGTGAGACTTTGGAGCAGCTGAAGAAGGTGGTCGATGTTCCCAAGCCGGGCAACACAGAGGCAGACATTGAGACTCTCTTGAACCTCATGGGCAGCGAGGACAAGCCGCGTGCTGCTTGGCCATTTGAATGCTAAGGTGTCTTGAGCGCCTTCTTGATAGCTCCTGGATTTGTCGCCTATTCTCAGTAGGTGGGCAGATCGTGTCAGATGCTGAAATGCAGCTGACACAGATCAGAATTCATCAATGTGACTTTGATTCATTCTTTGCTAGTATTGATTCGCCTTTTTGCCAGCTCAATATGCTGGCAGTTCCAGGTCAACACGATCTATCTACCTTGCTCATTGATGATCATGGTAGGCTGTACTGAGTGCAAACTCAGGACTGAAGCAGTATACAGTATACTGTATCTCTTCTTGCGATCCCGCCGACCTCACGACAATCCATGTCGAATGGTTCTGGCAAAACCCTCTGCTGATGGTGACCTTTGCGGCTCAAAAAGGCGCTTTTTTGATCCACACAAAACAGAAAGAGACAACATCCAATTTCTGTCCAAGCTGGATTTTTCCCATTGCAAACTTTACATTTGTTTGATTCTGTTTGATGTTCCTGAGTCTGCAACAGAGAACCTTGTGCCGGGCCACGAGCCAGACAGTTTTCCTGTGTTCAATAAATAAGCCATTTTCGCCTTCAAAGCTCTCCCGAACTCTCTTATTGGCTGCTGTGCGGCACCCTTCTGACGGTGAGCATGACCGATTTCAATCGCGTGAATGATGTCAGCGACCCCGAGGTTGATCAATCGTTTCATCCGAAGCGGTCCACGTTGAAGAGGATGGCTGTCGCAGGGGCAGCTGCTATGGTGGTTTGTGTGGGCATTCTTGCCTTGTCGACGAATGGCTTCAGCCGCAGCTGCAGCAACATTGGAGCTTTGCAAGGCAAGTCCGCTTTGGATCTTGATTCAGCCATCCGCTCCACCAGTGAAAAGCTGATTCAGGCAGTGAAGAACAACCAAACCGTGGCTGATGAGACTGTGATGAAGGCCATGGTGAAGGCAGGTCACAAGATTCAGGACCACTGGGAGAAGCACCACATCCGCAAGTTGGATACTCTTACCACCATCAGAAAGGTGAAAGGATTCCGCCAAGGACAAAAGGTCAAACTTGCTGGACGTGCGGAATGCGCCTTCAACGTTTTGGAGGCATTTGTCTCAGCAGTGGGTATGGGTGATGACATCAATGCCATCATTCGCACTTGCCCTGCACCTCGTGACGGTGAGTCTGAGTTGGCTTGCCAGGTGAACGGTGCCATCCTGGGTGCTTGGGTAGGAAACCTTGCTACAAAGCTGGCCTTGGCAACTTCCAATTGTGCCCTGAGCATCAACGTGGATGCCATTTGCTCTGCTGGCATCACAGGCTTGGTGTCAGGCTTGGGAGAGATTGCAGCTGGAGCTTCTTTGGGTGCGGCCACATGTACCGGAACTCCGCCACAGTTGACCACCACCAAGATCAGTGTCCTGGGAGATCAGACTGTCCGAGATGGCCGACGATTGTTGATCGGAGAAGGCACTGTCGGCAACGGCGTGCAGTGTGGTGTAGATGTGGGCATGGTGGCAGCCAACATTGCAAACATGGGTATTGCCATCAACAAGGCCGTGAATGTGAACAAGTGCAAAGCAAGCACCTTCCGTTCACCATTGAACGTGGTCAAGGGCCTCCAAGAGTCACTTTGCACCGTCGACATTGGTGGTGCTGTGGCCTACATCGGTCAGGTTGTTACCTTCATCAATCTCATTGTGCTTCATTGCCAGGACTGAATGGGCCTGATCACAACTGCAATGTTTTTTTTCTGGCAATCTCAACGCTTCTTGCTGTTCATTGTTCCCATGAAGTTTCATCACATAATATATATATATATAATGTATATACATATAATTATACATATATCTATGCATATATTAGATTCCTTTCCTGCACAAACTTGAGTCACTCTGAATCACTCTATTGCGGTCTTGAGATCTTGACATGGCACCCGTAGATGCCAAGCACACAGTCAAGCACTTCTTGCTTCTTGGACATCGATTTTGAATGATTTTGTCATATTGTGACGCTGTCCTGGTTTGTCCCTCAAGGGCCATTCAAGGGCCCCAAAATCTTCAGATAGGCCGCAGCATCATGTTTTTTCGGCCAGGACTTTCTGGATATCAACGCACTTTGTGCTGGCTCCATTGCTGCGATCACCACGGGTGCAGCGGCCATTGCGCCCTACGGCGCAGCAGTGCACGCGGGCTGCTCCCTCAACCATTTCTTGAAGACACCCAAGAGTCAAACACAGCTTTCTAAATTGTGGAATTCCCCAGGCTATGATCCTGTGTCAGGCCTGCCACACCCTCGACGCTTGACGGAAGAGGAAGAGATGGCCGCTAAGCAACCCTTGAAGGAAAGCTTGGCTCAGATCGCAGCGAACCGTGAGACTTTGGAGCAGCTGAAGAAGGTGGTTGATGTTCCCAAACCGGGCAACACAGAGGCAGACATTGAGACTCTCTTGAACCTCATGGGCAGCGAGGACAAGCCGCGTGCTGCTTGGCCATTTGAATGCTAAGGTGTCTTGAGCGCCTTCTTGATAGCTCCTGGATTTGTCGCCTATTCTCAGTAGGTGGGCAGATCGTGTCAGATGCTGAAATGCAGCTGACACAGATCAGAATTCATCAATGTGACTTTGATTCATTCTTTGCTAGTATTGATTCGCCTTTTTGCCAGCTCAATATGCTGGCAGTTCCAGGTCAACACGATCTATCTACCTTGCTCATTGATGATCATGGTAGGCTGTACTGAGTGCAAACTCAGGACTGAAGCAGTATACAGTATACTGTATCTCTTCTTGCGATCCCGCCGACCTCACGACAATCCATGTCGAATGGTTCTGGCAAAACCCTCTGCTGATGGTGACCTTTGCGGCTCAAAAAGGCGCTTTTTTGATCCACACAAAACAGAAAGAGACAACATCCAATTTCTGTCCAAGCTGGATTTTTCCCATTGCAAACTTTACATTTGTTTGATTCTGTTTGATGTTCCTGAGTCTGCAACAGAGAACCTTGTGCCGGGCCACGAGCCAGACAGTTTTCCTGTGTTCAATAAGCCATTTTCGCCTTCCAAGCTCTCCCGAACTCTCTTGTTGGCTGCTGTGCGGCACCCTTCTGACGGTGAGCATGACCGATTTCAATCGCGTGAATGATGTCAGCGACCCCGAGGTTGACCAATCGTTTCAAACAAAACGGTCCACGTTGAAGAGGATGGCTGTCGCAGGGGCAGCTGCTATGGTGGTTTGTGTGGGCATTCTTGCCTTGTCGACGAATGGCTTCAGCCGCAACTGCAGCAACATTGCAGCTTTGCAGGGGAAGTCCGCTTTGGATCTTGATTCAGCCATCCGCTCTACCAGTGAAAAGCTGATTCAGGCAGTGAAGAACAACCAAACCGTGGCTGATGAGACTGTGATGAAGGCCATGGTGAAGGCAGGTCACAAGATTCAGGACCACTGGGAGAAGCACCACATCCGCAAGTTGGATACTCTTACCACCATCAGAAAGGTGAAAGGATTCCGCCAAGGACAAAAGGTCAAACTTGCTGGACGTGCGGAATGCGCCTTCAACGTTTTGGAGGCATTTGTCTCAGCAGTGGGTATGGGTGATGACATCAATGCCATCATTCGCACTTGCCCTGCACCTCGTGACGGTGAGTCTGAGTTGGCTTGCCAGGTGAACGGTGCCATCCTGGGTGCTTGGGTAGGAAACCTTGCTACAAAGCTGGCCTTGGCAACTTCCAATTGTGCCCTGAGCATCAACGTGGATGCCATTTGCTCTGCTGGCATCACAGGCTTGGTGTCAGGCTTGGGAGAGATTGCAGCTGGAGCTTCTTTGGGTGCGGCCACATGTACCGCAACTCCGCCACAGTTGACCACCACCAAGATCAGTGTCCTGGGAGATCAGACTGTCCGAGATGGCCGACGATTGTTGATCGGAGAAGGCACTGTCGGCAACGGTGTGCAGTGTGGTGTAGATGTGGGCATGGTGGCAGCCAACATTGCAAACATGGGTATTGCCATCAACAAGGCCGTGAATGTGAACAAGTGCAAAGCAAGCACCTTCCGTTCACCATTGAACGTGGTCAAGGGCCTCCAAGAGTCACTTTGCACCGTCGACATTGGTGGTGCTGTGGCCTACATCGGTCAGGTTGTTACCTTCATCAATCTCATTGTGCTTCATTGCCAGGACTGAATGGGCCTGATCACAACTGCAATGTTTTTTTTTTCTGGCAATCTCAACGCTTCTTGCTGTTCATTGTTCCCATGAAGTTTCATCACATAATATATAATATTATATAATAAATATATAAATTATATAATGTGATACAATATGATATAATAATATATTATGTTATATATATATATATATCTATGCATATATTAGATTCCTTTCCTGCAAAAACTTGAGCCACTCTGAATCACTCTATTGCGGTCTTGAGATCTTGACATGGCACCCGTAGATGCCAAGCACACAGTCAAGCACTTCTTGCTTCTTGGACATCGATTTTGAATGATTTTGTCATATTGTGACGCTGTCCTGGTTTGCCCCTCAAGGGCCATTCAAGGGCCCCCAAAACTTCAGATAGGCCGCAGCATCATGTTTTTTCGGCCAGGACTTTCTGGATATCAACGCACTTTGTGCTGGCTCCATTGCTGCGATCACCACGGGTGCAGCGGCCATTGCGCCCTACGGCGCAGCAGTGCACGCGGGCTGCGCCCTCAACCACTTCTTGAAGACACCCAAGAGTCAAACACAGCTTTCTAAATTGTGGAATTCCCCAGGCTATGATCCTGTGTCAGGCCTGCCACACCCTCGACGCTTGACGGAAGAGGAAGAGATGGCCGCTAAGCAACCCTTGAAGGAAAGCTTGGCTCAGATCGCAGCGAACCGTGAGACTTTGGAGCAGCTGAAGAAGGTGGTTGATGTTCCTAAACCGGGCAACACAGAGGCAGACATTGAGACTCTCTTGAACCTCATGGGCAGCGAGGACAAGCCGCGTGCTGCTTGGCCATTTGAATGCTAAGGTGTCTTGAGCGCCTTCTTGATAGCTCCTGGATTTGTCGCCTATTCTCAGTAGGTGGGCAGATCGTGTCAGATGCTGAAATGCAGCTGACACAGATGGGTATGGGTTGAAATTGTGTAATTACCCCAATAATTGGATGGCTAATATTAAACTATATGATGTAAACTAGACTAAAATCTGGTCCACTAGGTCTTCAATTCTGACCCACACCCATATCTGAATTCATTTCTAGCTTGGTGGTATCGGGATGTTTGTTGCCTTTTCCCCGCATTTGTTGTTTTTTGTTTGATCTCCGTTGAAGGTGTTGCCCCAGAGGACCCGAGGACGGTGGATTGAAACCAACCATCTTGCGACAGCTCCAAGCCGGCCGAGACCACCTGTGTCGCGGCCGCGAAACCCTGTGTTTTTTTTTCGCGAAGCTTCGAAAAGGGCCCCGGTTGGCGCCTTGGAACAACCCCTTGGGCTACTAGAAACATCAAAAAACCCCGCCCATTGGGACGGATTGGAACGACACAGACACAGCCAGGTTCCAGGTGGCCATCGCTCAACAGATTCAGCAATTGGGCATGCAGCAGCAGTACCATCAGGTGCGCAGCTTATGGGATGATCCGGATGTGTTCCTTAATGTTTCGACTCGAGTTCCATCATTTTCCATGCTGGGGCGTATAAGTTATAGAATTTTCCATTCCCAAAAAAATGCTGCGATATTAGAATTGTCCCAGCCACACATCAAAACAAACTGGGATTCGAATTGACTTAAAACATCTTAAAACTTGAGATGGGGCAAGCTACGGGGTTATCCCATGACCAGGCTATGCACCAGCAGATGCTTCAACAGGCCGAGATGGATTGCCCATGGACGGCAGCTTTGTAGATGATTTCTTGATATTTTTTGCATATTTACAATGAAACATGAGGATTTTCCATGGTAATATATGGTAATATATCTTTATGATTCTTTATGTATATCTACAAATGTATATATATATATAATATATATGGCTACGAATCAAAATGTAAAGCCCCGATCCATACCCTGAACCCACAGGCCGATCCATACCCCCGATCCATACCAAAACGCAGGCGATCCAGACCGATCCATACCCGAATTTTGACCCAACCCCGTCCACAATATATATATATATACATATTAATATATATATAATATTATATCTATCTATCTATCTATCTATATCTGATGACCAGAGGGTAATTCTGTCCTCTGGGTGTTTTGCCCGTTTTCTCTGTATTTTTCACGCCCTTAGCAGGTTCTGCAACAACAGCAAGAGCAGAAGGTCTGAGCCCGAATTTCTCGGCTCCTGCGGCCGATTGTAGGATCGCACTAGGTCAATGAACCATCTTTGGGGTGATGAACATCCATTTAACTATTTTTGGTGATCACCAGCGATTCTGACCCCTACCCATAAAAAGTGGGAATGCGATGGCTCTTTGGGTCTTGTGCTGAAGGCTTTGCTTCAGAGGTCACGAGAAGAAGGCGTCCGAGTGGCGAAGGATCAGAGTTCGATGTTGTGCTGTTTCTTTTGCACTTTCGCACTTTCTCAGTTGGTGGTTTCAAAGATATGTTATACAATGTATAATTGAATAATTATGTGTTATTCAATGTTACAAAATACAATTGAAATATAATTATGTTCTTATATTTTCTTTCTATTTTCCTGTCTGGAATCCCAAATGGAACTTGGTCGATGCCGCAGGTACTTCTCAGCTCACCCCTCAGCCGACCGCTGTTGACCCAAGCCGCGAATTCAAATGACACTTTGTATGGCATTTCCCATTTTCAGACACACCAAATCATTGTTCTTGCTGTGTATATAATTAGCAATATATTATTAAATGTCCCTATGCATATTACGTATATATATATAATTATATACATGAAGTTGACAAAGTCGTTCCTGTTTGGGTAAGAACCATTTTTTTCCGTCGGGCCGTTGGACAAAAGTTTCTTTGGTGAAGTCGTGTCTCTAATGCACAAAGACGCTGCAGTCTGATATGCAACCCTTTCTCTTATGAGCTTATGTAGTTCATCATTGTCACCATGCAGTTTTCCATGTTTGGGGGATGTTGATTAGGTTCATGTAAGGCAACGTCTAGGTGGTGATTTGGATGTTCGTTTGCATTGCACTCAATCCTGCTGTGGAATCGCCAGCTTCTTTCTTGCGTAGTAATGAAGTACCAGATACTTGTAGTACCAGTACTTTTCTTTGAATACATTTGGAGGCCCATGGAATGAGAGTGATGAAATCAATGACTTCTGCGCAAACTGCCCGGTTTACGCTGAGATTGCCCGCCAATGTTTCGTATCACTTGTATCTAAATTCTGGAAAACTTGTTCTTCTAGTTGGGGTGCTGTTTTCTTATGTTAGATCTCTGAAGTGCATGATACAGTGGCACCTTTTTAAAGACAGCGTTCCATGCAAAAATGCAATTCCAAACCTCGCTGGGTGACCGAGGTCCACGACCCGCGGCCACTGGCCACAGGTGAGGCAGCCGGCCATTTTGTGGCTCCATGGATGGGCATGATTATGGCCATGAAATGATGGGGAAATGATGATGATATAGCATTATGATGCATTATGTAGCATTACAGAACATATTTATTCCACGTTCCCTATTTTCAGACCCTGCAAAATGACACAGAGTGACCTTGGCATTGAACAGAGCCTTTTTTGAATGATGTCAGTGGTTGGTGGCTGATTAAACAGTCACTAGTTGAAGCATATCGATTCATCTTGAAGCAGGTTATATCAATTCGCACCCAGCCGCAGCTGCAGTGTTTCACTGACTCCGTCCCTCATTGGTCCACAGCCCACAGCTTGAGGTGTATATGCAGCCTCCTGCTGGGCAGCACCCTGCGTTGTCCAAGCAGCCTCTTCTGCAGCTGCCCCCTCTGTGCCTTGGAATCACCGGACTGTGAAATGTTTGGATTCCTGATCCGGATGGGTAAAGATGTTGGACCCGGAACTAGAGATGTTTGGCTGATCCATGTGAGCCTGGCTCGATTTGTTGCAGCAAACCCTGGCTGTCCATGCCCCCATCTCCGTCATCTCCAGGCTACAAAGCATTCCGACAGCCAAATCTGAGAGGTCGGGGGGTTCAGGTGGCCAAGTGGCCAAGTGGCCAAGTGGGCCACGATCACTGCAAAACTGAAGTAATGAATCCAGAATTCATGGCATATCCTCTGGTAAACATACAAAAAGCTATTGAACATGGCCATAGAAATAGTGGATTTTCCGATTTTCCCATTCAAAATGGGTGGATCTTTCCATTATGACCAGAGGGTATTATGAATTATGGGATGGAACTTGGTTTCAACGCACTGGAAATGGCACTGATTGAGATTTGACATGACAAAGTTCCACTGGATTACAGATTGAGATGTTCACGTTCTACTCGGATGTTCTTGCTTGGCTATGGTAGATATTGATAGATCTTGGATGTTAGATGATCATTGAATCATTGGTTCATTGATTGTGTGGACTGTAATTACCCTCTGGTAATTTAACATAGCTATTGAAAATCACCATTTTCAATGGGTAAATCCACTATAAATGGCCATTTTCAATAGCTATGTTAAATTACCAGAGGGTATATTAGATCTTCAGCTATTGGATGCTGGACACGGCGAGGCCTATCCGGAAGCCACGTGCTGCCAAGAGCCAGGTCGGATGGAGATGTTAAGAAAAATTGGAAAAGCCACAGACTGGAGTCGATCAGAACATGTTTTTCTCATATTTTATTATCAGAAAATATAGTCAATTATAGTTATCATATATGTTACCATTAAATATAGTTAAATAATGATAACTATATTTAAATAACTATAGTTAAATTATGATAACTATAACCATATCATATGTTAAATATAGTTATGATGTATTCCTGTTTTTTATTCCTCTCCAGAATCATAGAACGATGATTTTTTTTTTGAAGCTGATGGTCATCCCCAAGAGCCCGATAAAGCTGCCATGACTGGGGACGGATTGTAGCACTAACATGGTGACTCTGGGGATGTACCCTCTGGTAAACTAACATAACTATGGAAAATCACCATTTTGTATGGGAAAACTCACTATAAATGGCCATTTTCAATAGCTATGTTAAATTACCAGAGGGTACCACATTAAAAATCATGAACACGTAAATCGGAAGGGATAGGCAATGATCAAACAACTGAACCAATAGAGACACAAACTCATACATTATCAACACTTAAAGACATAGAACACATATTTATAGATATGACAAATTGGACCACTAGAAAAAAGGAACACATATATAACAATTAAACATGATGAAACACATGTTTCAACTGATTGAAAGACTGACCACATGAACACTTGTTAAACAAGATACATAAATGATCAACAAACGCAGACACATTGAAAACTGCTTGAAACGAACCAAAATTGAAACAACATGAACGAAAAACATGAAAAAACATAAACAACATGAAACAACCTCGAGGACCATGGCTCAAAAGCCACATTTGGGCCCTTTCCACGGTGGGAGGAACTTTGGGGCTGAGTTGGCAGCTTCTTCGCCAGCGGCAACATGAGACCAACTTTTCGCTTGGGGGACTCTATCGTGGAGCCTCCAAACAACATCGAGTTAACCCTTGCAAGCTGCTAGTACAAAAATATGAAGTAAAATAGACGTTGCTCCAGAGACTGGAGAAAGAAACAAGGAACATATAAAAGGCTAAATGTGGCTGAACAAAAAAGGAATGACAAAATAAAGCGTGATTAAGTTGGCACATCTATACTCATCTATATTTGGTTCACACGGATGAAGTGTTGAATATAAGTTGGCACATCTAGCCACCAATGTCAGCCCCCGTACAGACGAGCGGCGATAGTTTGCATCTGTTTTCATGGTTAGAAAATTGAAAGTGGCACAATAAACTCCACAAACCAGTCTTTTAAAACTTGAAGACTGTTAGATCTCATCACGTATTGATGAAGGATAGTAAAGGAACGAAGCCAAACCAACAAACAGTGAAGTTAAGAACATGTTTACTTTCATTGCCAGCACGGATGTATGATGAATGTGGTGACACAAAAAGAACACAATGAGCCAGGATTTATGGCAGTAGAAAGGCAA